GGATAGTGAGGCTCAATTAGAGTATGTAGAAAGAGGGAAATTTTTTCCCATAAAAGTAGGCCTTAGACAAGGATGTGTGATGTCACCGTGTTGTTTAATATATTTATAGATGGGTTGTAAGAGAAGTAAATGCGAGGGTCTTGGCAAGAGGCGTGAGTTAAAAGATAAAGAATCACACACAAAGTGGGAGTTGTCACAGCTGCTCTTGCTGATGACACGTGTGCTCTTGGAGATTCTGAGAGAAGTTGCAGAGATGTGTGGATGAATTTGGTAGGTGTGCAAAAGAAGAAAATTAAGGTGAATACAGAAAGAGTAAGGTTATGAGGATAACAAAAAGATTAGGTGATGAAAGATTGAATATCAGATTGGAGGGAGAGAGTATGGAGAGGTGAACGTATTCAGATATTTGGGAGTGGACGTGTCAGCGATGGGTCTATGAAAGATGAGTGAATCATAGAATTGATGAGGGAAAAAGAGTGAGTGGGGCACTTAGGAGTCTGTGGAGACAAAGAACTTTGCCCTTTTTGGGAGGCAAAGGGGGGAATGTATGAGAGTAATTTTTTAACCAACGCTCTTTTTATGGGTTGGGGGCTTTGGGTATGAATGTTGAAAGGCGAGGAAAAGGCTGGAGGCAGTGGAATGTCATGTCTGGGGGCAATGTGTGGGGGAATATAATCAGAAAATTCGTAGTTTGGAATTAGGGGGAAAGGGGGCGGGATTCCCCAAAACTGTTGTCCAGAGGGCTGGGGAAGGGTTTTTTTGATGGTTCGGAAAATGTAGAAGGGGGGAGCGAAACAGAATGACTTCAAGAGTGTATCATCTGTATGGGGGAAGGGGGGGAAAGGGGTTCCCCAAAAAGGGGGTTGGGGGGAGGGGGAAAAGGGAGGTTTTGTGTGCGAGGGGCTTGGACTTCCAGCAGGGCATGCGTGAAAACCCTGGTTTTAAAGGGGTGAAAGGGGGACCAAAAGGGTTTTTAAAACTTGACGTGCTGTTGGAGTGTGAGCAAAGTAACCCTTTTTGAAGGGATTCAGGGAAAACCCCCAGGCCGGGCTTGAGTCCTGGAGATGGGAAGTACAGTCCTGCCCCCTGAAGGGGGGGTGTTAAGGGTTTCAAATTTAAAAAAGGGAGTGTAAAGGGACCCCTTTTGGCAAGAAAAAGTGATGAGGGGAATGATGTGAAAGTTTTTTTTTTTTCGGCCACCCCGCCTTGGGGGGAATTTGGCCCGGGGTGATAATAATAAAATATATAATAAAATATAAAAATATATACACACACACACATATATATAAAATATAATATATATATAAAATATATAAAACACATATATAATTATATATAAATATATTTTTTTATATTTATATAATAAAAATATATCCTACATATACATAATATAAATATAAAAATAAATATACATATATATATAATAATATATATATCCTACATATACAAATATTTATATAAAATAATAAAATATTATATAATATAAAAATTTTAAATATTTACATATACAAAATATATATATATATATTTTTAAACATAAAATATATATATATATATATATATATATACATATAAATATAATAATATATAACAAAATATATATATAATATTTTAAAACATAAATATATACAATATATTTTAATACATAAAATAATACATATAATATTTATATACATATTTAATACAAATATATATAAAATATATAAAATATATACAACCCTATACATATATATATATAATTTTACATAAAAAACATAATAATTTTATATATTTAAATAAATATATACATAAATATATATACATATATATATATACAATATATAAAAAAAATAAAAACAATAAAATACAAATTTTATATATATAAAATTTCATAATATACATATATATAATATATATACAATATATAATAAAAATATATATATATAAAAATAATATATATATAAACATAAAAATTTTATATATATATATATATAGATATATATATACCCTATATATATATAAATATAATATATATATAATATACAAATATATAAAATTATATATAAAATATATAACATATATATTTAATATATAAATAAAAAATATATATATTACATATTTTTTTTATATATATAAAATTTTTATATATATATAAAAATATATATATATTTTAATATATATATATAATACCCTTTCAATGCCGTGCCGAACAGGGAAAAACCCGCGATTTTTTATTTAAAAAAGCAACGATCCCTTTTTGGGCCCAAAAGGCCCAACAAAAATTTTTGTAAGCAATAATTTCGCAAAAAAAAAAACCCTTCTGAACCTAACGAAAAAATAAATTTCATTGTTTTGTTTTTATTAAATTTTGAAACTTTTCAAACTATATTTAGCTGGATTAGGGTAAATTAAATTTCGCTTGTTATAAAAGGTTAATAATTTTCTAAAGTTTTTTTATTTTTAATTGGACTAGTGTATGAGCAAATTCGCCGATGAACGAAGATGGTAGGATAATTGATTCAAACGTAGATGTTAGGGAACTTCAGGAGGATTTAGACAAACTTTACTTTTGTCAGAAAAGTGGCAGATGCAGTTCAATGTAGATAAATGCAAGGTTCTGAAGCTCGAAGTGTCCATAACCCTAGCACTTATAAGTTAAATAATGTAGAACTTAGCCATACAGATTGCGAAAAGGACTTGGGGGTTATGGTAAGCAGCAACCTTAAACCAAGACAGCAATGCCTAAGCGTACGTAATAAGGCAGATTACTGGGATTTATATCAAGAAGTGTAAGCAACAGAAGTCCAGAGGTCATACTGCAGCTTTATACATCATTAGTAAGGTCTCACCTAGATTATGCAGCTCAATTCTGGTCTCCATATTACAGAATGGACATAAATTCGTTAGAAAACATTCAGCGTAGGATGACTAAATTAATACATAGCATTAGAAATCTTCCTTATGAAGAAAGATTGAAGACTCTTAAGTTACATTCACTTGTTAGACGAAGAATGAGGGGAGACCTGATCGAAGTGTATAAGTGGAAGATAGGTATTAATAAAGGGGATATTAACAAGGTCTTGAGGATATCTCTCCAAGAGAGAACCCGCAGTAATGGATTTAAATTAGATAAGTTTAGATTTAGAAAGGGACATAGGAAAGTATTGGTTTGGAAATAGGGTAGTTGATGAGTGGAACAGTCTACCTAGTTGGGTTATTGAGGCTAGGACTTTGGGTAGTTTCAAATTTAGGTTGGATAAGTACATGAGTGGGAGGGGTTGGATTTGAGTGGGACTTGCACATCAGAGCTTATTTCTTGGGTGGCATTGAAAATTGGGTTGGTCAAACGTTTGTTAGTGGGATGAATTGTAAAGGACCTGCCTAGTATGGGCCAACAGGCCTGCTGCAGTGTTCCTCCTTTCTTATGTTCTTATGTTCTTATATTCAATACACTAAACCTACTCACCATACAAAATATCCATACTTATTACTGCACTTATTACATACATAGAACACTTAACTCTGATATTAACCCTCCCCTCAAACATCTTGCCAACCTCAACAGAACACATGACCATAACACAAGGCACAGATCACTCTTTGATGTTCCTCGTGTCCATCTCACACTATGTAAAAACTCAATGCACATAAAAGGCCCTAAAATCTGGAATTCATTACCTGTAAATATAAAAGAAACACTACCTGTTTATAAATTCAAGTCTCTTCTCAAAGATCACTTACTCACCCAAAACCAAATAAATACTGAATAACTGAACCTTATAAATTGTATATCTAAATGTTTCTCACAATTATATCACATAAATGTTAAACCTAAAACCGAATCTAACTTTATTATTTTTTAAATACACTACCTAACAGAATACTTCCCATTCGACTGAATGTACAACAATGCATGCAACCATAGGACCTGTCTTTGTAATACTCACTTGTGCTTTATAGTAATATGTTTACAATAATGTTTTATCACTGATTTCATCATTGCTTAGTTAATCTTAAGTTAATTTTAAGCCAGCCCGTAATGCTATGCATAGTATAAGTGGCTTTGGCATGCTGCTCTTATCTGTATTTTTTTGTACCTCTGTATGTGTGCTCAAATTGTAAATAAATAAATAAATAAATAAATAAATAAATTAATTAGGATAATCACTATTATGACTGTTGTCAGGCTTGGAGAGAGGGAGGGGATCCTAGGGAGGGGGACGTTGACGGAAGAGGGGGAGAGGGGATGAAGGGTGTAGGATGTGATGGTGTGGGAGGTGATGAAAGGTGTGGGAGTGATGAAAGGTGTGGGGGTGATGAAAGGTGTGGGAGGTGATGAAGGGTGTGGGAGGTGATGAAGGGTGTGGGAGGTATAACAAAGCAGGAAAGAAGTGATAAGGAGCAGGAAGGGAAAAAAAGAAGAGCAAGGGAAAAAAGGGGGAAAGAAGAGGTGATAATGGTGAGAGGGGTAGTGGAGGTGATAATGGTGAGAGGGGTAGTGGAGGTGATAATGGTGAGAGGGGTAGTGGAGGTGATAATTTGGTGAGAGTAGTGGTGATAATATGTGAGGGATAGTGGAGGGATAATGGTGAGAGGGGTAGTGGAGGTGATAATGGTGAGAGGAGTAGTGGTGATAATAGTGAGAGGGGTAGTGGAGGTGATAATGGTGAGAGGGTAGTGGAGGGAGGATGGCCTCTTTCATGCACTTGAAGGAACCTTGCAGCCAGAGGGAGACAGGAAAGGAATGACTGTTTTCTGTGTTGAGGGAGGGAGGGAAAGAGGGAGGGAGTGAGGGAGGGAAAGAGGGAGGGACCGAGGGGGAGGGAGGGAGACCACCACTCATCACTTCTGAGACCAGACAGAACAGGACCAGTACTGTTAGGTAAAAAGGACACAAGTGCAACTAATGTGACAATAAGGCAACGTTTCGCTCTCTAGAAGCTTCGTTAAGTCACCTTAGAGACCAGACACAACACAAGCAGTAGAGACCACTACCTAACAGACCAAACATAGCACCTCACTTGTTGCTGGGTTGCCGCCCACGGTTTCTGCCTCTCTTGTGGGTGGGACGTCGTCTACGACCTCGTCCTCTCTGCCGTCTGGGCGGTGTGGGCGCGGTGGGTGGCGGCGTGGGCGTGGTGGGTGGCGCTGGAGTGCCTGCGGGCGTGGAGACAATCAAGTTAGATCTTACATGACTGCTACGAGACACCACCTGCTTGATGGCACTCTGCTAGAGTGACACAATGTTCTTCCATCTCTTACTCGAGTGTATGTGTACTCACCTAATTGTGGTTGCAGGGGTCGAAACTCAGCTCCTGGCCCCGCCTCTTCACTGATCGCTCCTAGGTCCTCCCTCTCTCTGCTTCCTGAGCTTTGTCATACCTCTTCTTAAAACTATGTATGGTTCCTGCCTCCACTACGTCACTTGCTAGGCTATTCCACTTCCTGACGTACATGTGTGGGTGTACGTGTGGGCGTACATGTGTGGGCGTACTTGTGGGCGTACATATGTGGGAGTACGTGTGGGCGTACAAGTGTGGGCGTACATGTATGGGCGTACATTTGTGGGCGTACATGTGTGGGCGTACATGTGTAGGCGTACATGTGCAGGCATACACGTGTGGGCGCGTAAATGTGGGCATACACGTGTGGGCGTGCACGTGGTGGCGTGCGTTTGAGCGTGCCTGTACACACCTAGCAGTATTCCTTGGTGTTGAGTCACTGCGCGTAGCTCCACCTCTAAACCTACACTCGACCGCCTGCACTGCTTCCTTGGTTCCTGTCATACCTGAAGCTGTGTATGGAGTTTGTCTCCCCCTCTTCCTCATCCAATTAATCCATTTGGTGCTTCGCCTTTCACTCCGCCCATCTCCCTTTCCTCGTATGCAGTATCTTGTACGTCGTGATCGAATCTCCCAGGGTCCTCCTGAAGTCAGGTCACGCATTTGAAAGTCATTCGAGGTCACGGGAGGTTTGAGTAACCAATAAAAATTGGAAAAAATCCATGTGTATTCACATTGTTTTTTAGATTAAGATCTTTCGCACTCTTTGTGCGCCGTCAGGAGCTGTGCAATGTTGTGTGTGTGTTGTGTGTGTGTGGTGTGTGTGTGTGTATACCCTAAAAATGAAACGTATTGTAATTATATAAATATATATATAAATATATATATATATATATATATATATATATATATATATATATATATATATATATATATATATATATGTCGTGCCGAATAGGTAAAATTGGTCAATTAGTAAGAACTCGTTTAAATAACAATAAATAACAAAAAGGCACAATACCGTGACTGGAACGATACACAAATAACCCGCACATAAAAGAGAGAAGCTTACGACGACGTTTCGGTCCGACTTGGACCACTGAGTGTGACTTTGTCAATGGTCCAAGTCGGACCGAAACGTCGTCGTAAGCTTCTCTCTTTTTATGTGCGGGTTATTTGTGTATTGTGAACTCGTTTAAAATTAAGTCCTTTCTAAAAAAAAATCTTATACATTTCAAGATATTTTTTTAATTTATGTTAATATAAATTTTAATAATTTTGTACCAAAAGAACCTTAGGAAACTTATCTAACCTTATTATAACATGAGCAATTTAATTTAGCCTAATCTAACTAAATATATTTTAGATAAGTTTACAATAATTTAATAATAAACAATAATTTAATAATAAACAAACACAATGAAATATATTTTTTTCCTTAGGTTCAGAATGATTTTTTGCGAAATTATTGCATACACAAATTTTCGCTTGCCTTATTCGGCAAGAAGAGCGTTGCTATTTAAGCCAAAACACTAGTCTTACTTATTCGGCACGACATTATATATCTCCCTCTGCCCCTTTCGAAAGACATTATGTCAGATTAATCCCCCCCCCCACCCGTTGTAACCGTTAAAACATAACCACAACAGTGTTACATTTGTATTTTTATGTGCGTTTATGTTTGCGTGCTTTAGAGTGTGCGCGAGCGCCTGTGTGCACGCGCATGTCAGCATGAATACATAGACATGAGTAATTAACTATCTGTAATTACTAATTTGTATGGACAGATCAATGCATGTGGTGTTTAAGACAAATATTAAACTTTGAAATAGTTGTTGCTAGAGTTCATTGTTCTTGTGAACTTGGTGTTAGCCGAGTCCAGTGGGTAGTATCCTGGTGAACAAGATTAAAAGTTTACATAGGTATTAAGCCAATCTGATGGCATTATTGGGTTATTCCGAGTTACAAATCTTCTGGTTAATTTAATAATCCCAATAAACCTCGTGGATCCTGTCATACCGGCGTTTTAAACTGTGTATGCTGGTATATACTTCCATCCTTTCCTCATCCAGGTCTTTCCACCTGGGGGAAAGGGGTAGACATAATTACGACGTACAACGTTCAAAGAGGACACGATAGGTTTGATAGAGAGGTGCTGTTTGGAAGCAGGGGAACCTGGAACAGGAGGAAAGATGTAAATAACTCATACCCTGAGCTAGTTACATCTTAAACTTCCACCCTTTCCTCCTGTTTCCGGTTCCCTGATTCCAGACAGCACATCTCTGTCAAACCTTTCGTGTCCTCTTTGAACGTTGTACGTCGTAATTATGTCTACCCCCCAGGTGGAATGACCTGGATGAGGAAAGGATGAAGTAGATACCAGCATACACAGTTTAAAACACAGGTATGACAGGGTCCATGAGGTACAAGAATAATGTGACTGCTCATAGGGAGGAGAGACTCGTACCTTCTTAGTAGCAACTAATACACTGTCAGAGCACACACAGTCAGCAACAGTCTGGCATCACCAGTCAAATTCCTGAAAATTTAGTTTCCCGTCGCTATCCAGTCATGCCTTCCCAGACGTGTTACAGCATTTTTTAAAATTTAGTTTAAAGTGATTAAATATATCTTTAGAAGTTGATACAGCCTAACATAGCTCAAATTAACATAGGCGAATTTTACGTAAAATGCAGTAAATAGTATGTGTGGCATACAAAGAGTATGTTACAATTTATTCAGTGTATGTCACACTACCATATAGGCTGTCCCCCAACCAGTGAACCAGGTGCTAAGGGTTTAACGATCAATAGGGTACCCGTCGTTAAATCAGTACCTTGGTTCATTGGCCAATCACAGACAAGCCTGCCAAAGCAGAAGCAACGTGGCTCACTTGTGGCAAGCACTGGCAGACTTGCCTAGCTGATGGTTGAGCACGGTGAACTCCGGCTTCTGCTTTGCCATCTGTCACCGTGGTGTACATTTACCGTTCCACCTGTGCATCTTGTACACTATAGCTGATGGTTGAGCACGGTGAACTCCGGCTTCTGCTTTGCCATCTGTCACCGTGGTGTACATTTACCGTTCCACCTGTGCATCTTGTACATAGTGTACATGTATATATCATCTGGTGAAGGTAAATATACTTGATAGTCTACTGTTGAGTTTTATCTGCTTCACATTCCCATTGCGACCAGGTCTCACAGGCAATTCTTTATCTGTGTTCGTTGAAGATTGAGACACTTATGCAACGTATGGGAATCTTTATTAAGGAAACGTGGCGAAACGTTTCTTTAATAAAGATTCCCATATGTTGCATAAGTGTCTCAATCTTCACCTTGTCAGTTTTCAAAACCATTTATCACCTGTGTCCGTAATAGTATGTAAACGCAGTTTTCCAGGTGCTAATGAATTAACTTTGAAAATCAATGCTGAGAACCAATAATATTGATATTATAAGTGAAGTGAGAGCAGCCTGGGTATAGGATGCCTGTTACCCTCATTACAACTACTATTCAGTATCTCAGAGACCTTGGCTCAGCTTATCACTGAGCCTTCCCACCAGTCCTCTGGCCTACATTGCCAACCTTCCACTAAGGTGAAGGCAATATTATGAAGTCTCCTCCTATAGTCAAGATCGTCCATAAAGGTTTTAAGATTGCTGTGAGGACCAGTGGGATTACTGACAGCACATCCATTACCCAGGTGCTACGGTGAGTTGTACAAGGGCGCACCAGGGGCGTGCAAGTGGTGCGGCAGGTTGAGGCTGTGCAACAGTGCTCGGTATTCAAGTATGGTAAGAGGGTATGGTAAGACCCGGTCCATAACCAGGCTTCGGGGAGGCCTTGGTCCCCTGAGGCATTATAGAGGGATACTGACATGTGTGAAAAGTGGCCTAATTTGTAGACATGTTAATGGGCCATGACAGCCTTCAATGACCATAGAACTGCCTTTGACACAAAAAGTGAAACACTGACCACCTCAGGAATTAAATGAAAACTCCCAGGTACACGCTTCGCTACATTGACAAACTTACACGCAGTATAATTACACACCACGACAAACTTCTCATCTATTATGCAGACATTTATCTTACTGCCAGTACTCACAATAGATTACACAGTTAACTAGATTTCTTTACAGAGAGAAACATCGAGTGTGGTCTCATTGTATCCACAGATTACACCAAAGATTTTGTCTAAATGATAACGCCAACACTGCTACCTTGCCGAATAATCAAATCATTCAAATCCGTGAATGTCAGAGTTGAACCGTCTCTCCTCAATTAAGACTCACGAAATCGTATTAACACGATTGCAAACTAATCAGGGAACGGGTGAGGCTTGAACCCATGGCAAATGTGTCCTGAAGCTCACTGGCCTAAAAGTTTTAGCACTCATTTGCCATGGGTTGAAGCCCCACCGGTTCCCTGATTTCTCCTCCAACTAGGCAGCTTGTTAAGTTACTAACATAAGCAGTATTTCATAAACAGACAAATGATAAGTCAAAACATGAACTGGAATTAAGACACTTGTGGAAAAAATCCCACTGGCAATGTTATCAGATGAGTGTAACACGGTGAGTACAAGTCGGCGAGTACAAGTCGGCGAGTACAACACAGTGAGTACAACTTGGTGAATATAATTCAGTGACATGCACCTCTAGTCACACCCTACATATAACACTTATTGCTATCATTCAGATATCAGTGAGAATCCAGTGTTCCCAAAATCATTGGTACTGAAAACAATTTCTTCACTTACAGACACGTGCCAAGTGACCATCCCACGAACACTACTGAGAGAGTGCAACAAGCAAGAGACTGTACTGCACGAGTTTGCGCACACTGTAAAAACAATACTGGCACGCAACCAG